GAGAGCTTCAGGGAAGGTTTTACTTGATAGATTTTTTATTATTTTGACGTATGGGAAACAAATAGTGACAATACATTCATAGATTCATAGACATTAGGGCTGGAAGGGACCTCGGGAGATCATCGAGTCCAGCCCCCATTTTTTCTCTCTCTTTTTTTTTTTTTTTTTTCCAAACTTATTTGGGAATGGGCTGGAGGCTGGTGCCTCTCTTCCCCTCCCTGGCACTCTGGGAGGGGAGCTTTTATTTACACTGGTAGCTGTACATTGGTAGCTTTTATTTACACTCAGCAGATTTTTTAACTCCAATTAAAATATTCCTCTTAAAACATTAAATTAAAAATATTCACAGTCCACAGATGCCAACTTTTAAACGATTGAAGATTATGGTTCATTCTTTATGGTAAATATTATTTAATAAAGACTTAGGGCAGCATTATATGGCACTAAGACACAGAAATGCCCCTTATGCAGACTATAGGGATCTTAGTCACCCAGCTACATTCTGCTTTGTCTCATGTAGAGGCTTGAATTGTGATTATCCACCTAAAAGGATTTTTATACACCTACAGTTTTACCCTAGGCAACCAAGTCTGTCCTTACCATTCATGCTTTTAAGTAATTCAGTCCTGTCCTTCAGGCATCTAAGTCCATTTACACTCTATTGTGATTCAGCTTTGTCATAACCACACAGAAATGTTCCACCCCTCTAACTGTGGACCACCAAAATATACAGTTGGCAAGTGTTTAAGACTAAACAAGGATGGTGACAATACTCACCTCTTACTAAGTAGCAGAGTGTTTTAAGTTACCTGCCTAAAAACAAGAAAGACCCAGGTTCTAGGGGCGTTTATACACATGCTCAAGGAGTCGGGGGGGGGCTTTAATTAGAGAGGCTCCAAAAGCCGCGCTAATTAAACTGCCCGAAGCATCTTGTGTATCAGCATCCCCATGCTTAAAAATGGTGGTGGGGACAATTTAACTAAAGTTCATCAAACAAGCTTTAGTTAAAGTCCCCCCATCACCATTTTTAAGCATGGGGGCACTAATACATGAGACGCTGGAGTCTGCTGAAGCACGGTAATCACCATGCTCCAGCAGACTCAATTAATCGAGTCTGCTCCAACACACTGTAATTACAGCGCGACAGAGCAGCCTCGCTGCTTGTGTATACATGCCCTACGCTCTCACTTCCCCCTGATGGGAAACCCTTAACTTCCCACAGCACAGCATCCCAAACACCAGGCAGGATGAAGAAATCTTGAAGCTAAAAGGCACTGGACAGCCACCAGGGACAGCATCTTAGTGTAGCTCAGAGGTGGATGCTACCAAGTATGTTTTTAGAAGGGCTGGAGTGCAGTTGGGGCTGTGGTGGTCCAGGAAATATGCAAGAAGCAACTGTCTACTTGAGCAAGATCTTGAACAAACTTTCATACAAAACTTTCTTACAAAAGTGAATTCTTCAGGTAACCTGAAAAGGGCAACTTTGTGCCCAAAAGTATAAACAGAATTCAGCCATTAGTTTATTCATTCTCCAACAGCGAGGCAAAATCATCCAGGAAATAATTGTTTAATGCAAAATACAGTATTGATTGGTACTTTGTCCTGGTGACTATTTTGCGATGTAGTGCTAAAGTTCTATAGTACTCAAAGAAAGTAGATACATCAGTAGCACCCAAATTCTTTGTAGGGTTAGGTACCTAAAAAAGTCTCCGCAGAGATGGGAGTTTGCAAACCAGCTGCAGGTATGAGAGCCTCAACAAGTAACTGCAGAGAAGCACCACCTGACTACTATAGCTCTTATGTCAAAGGGAGCTGCTTCTGCGATCAACTGCACCAAGCCACTGATGAGCTCCAGCTGCTCAGAGAAGTTGTGCCCTTTGAAGTAAATGTCACAGCAAATAGCTGAGCGGTTCCTTCTCATTTTGACAACCTTTTACAAATTAAGCACGTTATGAACAAGCCATGTATGAAGAATCTGGGTTCTACTGTATTCAGAGATGAATTGCTCATTTATCCATAGCTATGCTTTTACAGACTGCTGTGGTACAGAACTAGCCAGTAACACATCCAATATGTTATATATAACATATTGATGTTATATATAAAATTGAGATTTTGCTAAACAGTTTGTTATTCTAAGTAGTATCAAACTGAATTTCTGGGGCTGTGTTTTCAAGTATGGGTATGCATAAGTGATCTCATTTTGACAATATCACTGGTTTGAAGTATATTATGTATAACCTAGTTAAAATCTCTCTCAAGAAGCTGTCCATATTAGTGAAGAGAAACAAATTATTTTGACAACACTAAATTGAAGCGTAATTTTAAAAAGTTGGGTCGGATATTGCTAGACCAAATTCTGCCCTGTGCAATTCTATGAATTTGATAGAGATTGAACACGTCTTAATATGTTTATTAATATGCAATATTAACAAGAATTCGCATTTCTTATTTATTCTCTTAGATATACACCAGAAATCCATATAGCTAAGATGAACATAAACAGAAGAATATCTCAGACTGATCCCTTGTGATGGAAGAAAATCTTCCTCAAATGGCATGCCTGAATGGACTATTTGTCTAATTCTCAAACCTGAAAAAAATCAACTGAATATTATTATTTATAACCATACATAGCCAAAGGCCAAATACACTCACCAGGAAGACAAATGCTGAAAGGATTCTTTGGGTTTTGTTACACTGTGATGATGCCTGCTCAGCAAATTACATTTTAAGTCATAAATCCAGGTTTAATCTCCTATTCTATGAAGTATTTTTTTAATAATCAAAGTAAAAGCAACAGATGTTTGCCAAAGGACTATGCATCTGATCCTACATTAACAAAATACTTTAGATTAAGTAACTTACTCTATACTCAGTCTTTAAATAAAAATTCTAATGAGACTTCTACACGATGAATGAGAGTATGATACCATTTTTTACCATGTGAAGCATGTTTCTCATGTTTTGGATAGCTGTTGGATTTGTAGTCAATTTGCAAATAAAAGATATTCTTGGCATTAAATCTTAAATGTAATAACATGCAAATCTGACTTGGACTTACCACCATAACTCCATAAGGTAATGTAGCCTTTTAGTTAAAAGTTGCCTAAGGTTTATGGTGAATCCATCTAACAACAATCTGTAAATAGCTCAGCAGAAAGGTCTAGTTTTTCAGAAAGTATCATAATTTTAGGGTACAATGTTCTCTCAAACAAGTTAACAAAACTTCCACTTGAACTAACTATGCTGTAGCACCTCAGTTGTTTTTCACCCCCCATACACTCAGCACAGAATACAGTTTTCAAACATGAAAACCAGTATGTTATAAAGTTTGGTTAACACTTGTACGTAGAAGCTTTACCCCTTCCCTTTATTTTTGTTGAGAGCATTACTGTATTTACCCAAATACAAAATGACTTCAAATTTAAGGCGACCCCCCAATAATTGGATTCTATATATGGGAAATTATAAGTTTGTTGTGTACAGATCTAATTAGCAGAAGGTCATCTTAAATTCAGCCTCTGCCCTTCCTCCCCACGGCTGTGGCAGGAAATGGAGTGTCAAGGAGTGAGGGGCCAGACACCTGCCCGCTATTATCCTGCCCCTTGCTCCCTCTCATGCTTGTACCTCTACCCCCCGCTTCCTGCCCCATCCATGCCTGTGCCTGCACCCCCACTCCCTGCAGCCTGCCCCACCCCACTCCCTGCTACAGTTCTGCTCTTCCAAGGCAGTCAGCAGCAGCATGGCCCCAGCCCTCCCCAACCCCCCCCAGCCACGGAGAAGCAGCAGCAACTCCCAAATAAGCCTACTTACAGGTCAAGGCTGGAGGGACCAGAGCCAGAGCAGAAGGTAAAAGGGGCCAGGAGGAAGAGTGGGAGAGAGGGCAGGTACAAGCACAGGGCAGAAAGGGGAGTGCAGGCTGCAGGTTCCCCAAACCACATGTCCCTTCCCCCACCACATGAGCCATCTTGGCCCCAGGTAGGCAGCTCAGGGCTCCAGCTTCAGCCCTGAGCCTGAGGTCAAGATCAGAGGTGAGCTGCCACATGCCCTGAATGGTACTCTAATCCAACATGAGGCTTTTTTCCCCCCGTGCTGATGGTGGGGGAGAAAGGGGGAAGGGGGGGATTGGAGAATCATCTTGGTTTCAAGTAAATATGGTAATTTACTAACCATTTACTAACTAATTAAATGGGTCCCATCCTGGGAACTGGCATACAAAGAGGCAAATACAGGATCCATCAGTGCCAGCCTGAATCCCTGAAGTGCACCGTCAGCAATGTATTCCACTACCTACTTACTTGCTAAAGAGACACCTGGTTATTTACAGAAGACAAGGGTGGTTCCTTAGACTGGATTCTAGCAATTCTTGTAGGTTGTAGGACCAGAGAGAGAGTCACTAGACAGAAGAAACAGAAACTGGCCTCCTGGCAACCTGGCCCTAATGGAACCCAAGGTGTAAATGAATAAGCACAGCCAGAGGACCTCAACCCAACAGCAAAGAGTAATGGGAAGGGAATATGACCAATAAAAGGGAATGGATTCACGGGGGGGGGGTTAGCAAAGGTATTTACTTCCTGTTAATGTAACTCAAATAAGAGAGTGGGGGAGTCTTAAATTTGCTGTATGGGCTTCTCAGTTGTAAATGCCAGACTGGTCCTTGCAGTTCACTGAATAACAGCTCTCAGTGCTTAAGACATCCTGATGAAATAATGGTATTTTCTTTTAAAATATATATATGCCTACCTGTTATACAGAAGAATATCTGGTTTCCAAATCTGACCATCAGGAAAACGAACATTCTTCACTCCAGGGTACTCAGATACATTCCATTGTAAATAGTAATCTGTCCAATACTGGCACAAAAAATATGTTAGTATCACTTTTCTCCATCACTGCCTTGTCATAGCTCTCTAGGGGACTGTATATTCCCAAACAACAAAGGTTTTTCTTGTTCTTTAAAGAGACATTCTGAGGTTCAAATTAAAATGTTTTAAAAGGGTGAATTTAGCCACCTTGAAAAACAGCACTGCAAAGCATAAAAATCCCATTTTCAGTTCACACTGTGATAGCATGCATTGTTCATGCTGTCTCAAGCACAAAATTAGGATTGAACAGATTATTTTATCTATACATTAACTCCAATTACATTTCTCTTTAGAAACATAACACAAATGGCCCCCTTTGTGGAAAATGATTAGATTGTAGTAAGCGATTAGAGTCATATTAGAAAGAGCAGCCAGAAGTCCCTACTGATAAGGAACACCGGGGATAGTCCAGCCTCTTAAGGGAACAAAGCAAATCCACTACAGGAAGGAATGAATGCCTGTAATGAAAATATTTCAATCCTTGTTTTTCCCCCATCAAAACAGAATTTTAACTAATGTCATTCTTAAAGCAATATGCCCTATTCAGAGAGACTGAACTCCTATATCCCATATACCACCTATATCCCACATACCACTACAAGTGGCAGTGGTTAAAACCCAGCTTGTAGTTCAGTATTAGTTAAACCTGTATTGCTAACAGATCACTTTTACCTTCATGTTTAACATCAGGGAATCCCATCTCCCAGCATCAACCATACCACCCGTGGACTACAATCAATGTTACTGACCTTATTAGGAATGGACTTAAGTTTTAATAAGATAAAAACTGCCTAGAAGATTGGACAAACCCTTCTGCAAGTTTGAAAAAATTCAATGCATTAATCTTATTTTAAAAACTATGGAAACTTTGAATTTCCTGGTTTTGTTTCCTGGAAGGTTGCTCTCTCTATGTCTGGCTCAAATAAAACCAAAATAAACCTGGCATGCATCTCTCAAAATTTTCTAGAACAAAACTTTCAGAGAAATTCTGTGAAGTTCTAAACATGGTCCTCAAGACCTGCTACTGTTATTCATAAACAGTCCAACCTATGTGCTATACAATATTATGTATAATACTGAATAGCTAGCTTATAACTTGGGGGGAGGGTGGGGAGAAGAGGAGGAGAAAAGAAAAGAAACAGTGGTCATTGTGGCGCTCTCACTGGTTGTTCTGTCATGTACAGACTCCTGTTACATCATGCTGATTAACCAGAGCACAGATGCTGCGCAAGCAGCGAACCTGCATATGACTCTTGGCTCTGACGGTAGGTATAAAATGGTATTTAGGGTTGACCTTGAGGTCATCTTCAACCAGTCTGGGCCATGAACACTGCCCTTCTCCCATGTACATCATATCTACATTGGCTGCCTATACGCATGCTCATTTGTGTTCTAATTAGATTCATCTATTAATCAAGTCTGCTCTGTGTTCTAACTAGTGTCACAACCCAAAGTTGTGAGTTTTTGTTTTGTGTGTGCTTCGGCACTGCTAAATTATGTTCCCGCTAAATTGCAGCTTCTTTGCACGGTGGAGTTCTCTGCTACAGAGGAGAACTCCGGTGCAACGGAGAATTTTCCCGCCAAATTTGTAGCTTTCTTTGCATGGTGCATTTCTTTTGCATCTCAGAAATGCACGGTGCAAAGGAGTTCCCGCCATTTGTATTTTAATTCGAGCCCCATTATTGGCTTGTGTTAAATTATGCACACGTGGCAGCTAGCAATTGGCTTGCTAGCCGTATAAAGAGCTTGGGTGGTTTACGCCCAAGTTGGAGAGAAAGCAATTGGAGTTCAAGAGGGAGAGCGTGAAGATCTCTAAGCGCTGCGGATCCTTACGGACCCAACACATTTCTTAAGAAGGCAACAGAGGTCTAAACAGCCTCTGGCCTCTCCCCGTCGCCAAGCGCAACCCTAGACGTATCCCTATCCTATATACTCAAGAACCAAACTCACAGAGCTTCGACAACTCTGTGGGAAAGAAATTGCCGAACCCGCAGAGCCTTAACTCCGGGGCCCAAGAACCGAACTTGTCGTAGTCCTCCAACGAGGATTTAAGCAGAGCTGAACCTGGAAACTGTCCAGCCTACACCGTGACCATCTTGGGTGTAAGTAAATAATCTTTGAATCAACCACTACGCCTCTGTGACTAATTCTAGCCCGTGCGTGCCTTGCCGCCGCACGGTCTCCTCTGACCCCGCGTGCCCGGGCTGCTGGCCACAGCCCGCGTGCGCAAAGACGGGTCCGCATATCGCTCCCGGCTCGCACATGGCGACATGGATGGGATCGGGAGGCGGCCCGCACAACTAGAACACTCCACCATCCTGTGCACTAAGCCCCTGCGCATTTTCAAATGGCCACAGGGGCGCTTTACCTAAACCTCGCCAAATGAGGTTTAGGTAAAAGCATCCCACGACCACTTTTAAACACGTGGGGGCCTAATAAACATGACGGTGAGTTGTTCTAATTAGAGCGGCTGTCTAGGAACTGCTCTATTAAAAAAGTCCCCTCCCCACACCCTGAGCACGTGTGTAGGCAGCCATTGTATTTTTTTCTTCTGACACATGGCACAAATGCATCTTGGGCTCTCTGGTACTACAAAAAAAGAGTAGCCGTTGTAGGAATCTGCGTCTGTACTTTTTGTTTTTCCAATAAAATATGAAGATAATTAGATGTATAACGCTTGTTTATTTCATGTTTGCATTATCATTGTTAAAGGAAGGAACTTGAAAAATGAAACAAGAACAATTTTTTTAAACCTCTCTTCCCATAGATTTGGTAGGTAGCATCTTTACTGAATTTCACTTTTCTTGCTTTGCTTTCTGTGAACATGGGGACAGCAGCTTGCAGATCAATATTCTCCTTGGTTTGGGTCTCATTCAAAATTAAAACAAAATCCAACAAACAAAAATGAGCCATCATAGAATAAAAATGGTTTTATAAGCTTACAGATTGAAAAACTGCATTTTCTGCTTGTGACAGATACGGGCAATAAAATCCTGAGTCGCTGATACACATTTCAAAACAAGCGCAATGCTTAATTTTGCACAGATACTCCGATACAACTTTCGGGTATGTTCCACACTTCAACTATTGCCAGTAGATTGTTCATTACAAAAAATAAATTTATGGTCAGAGGGTCCTTCTTCACCGGGATGTGGATCTTCTAATATTTTTACTTAAAACTATGCACTGCTGTTGTGATTCTTTGCTAGATATTGTAGATGTTTGGAGATGCATGCAAAAGACCGATCAGCTTACAGTGCTCCTTAATTTGTAAAAATCTTTCTTCTGGTGACTGCAAGGCAATATTCAAAACAGAACAAGGGAATAAGACTGTGTTATTCTTTTTCAGATTAGGTAACTATTCACTTCTGGTCTCATAACCAGTCTCTTTTTTGCTTTCTACTGTTGTTTTCCTTGTGGAAACTAGCTATGATATCCAGCTTATCAGCCAGTTCCTTAGCCTTACCCAGGACAATTGTGAATCCCATATAAGAGCGGCAGTTCAAAAAGAAATTCTTTGAGACTTTTAGTTGATGCACAGTCTTTTTGATATCCAGGTGAATGTCTTGAAGCATTTTATTTGCAACATTAATTTCTTGAAGTATACCATGCCACATGAAAATACTCAACAAGAATTTATAGCTTCAGATATTTTCAGCCAGCAATTTGAATTTTGGTTTCTGTGGGTCCCTGTAGAGTTCACTGGCAATGGAAACTAAAGCACCGTAGATTTCTAAACCTTGGTAACAAAATATACAAATCATGTCAATTAAGCTTTCCCATCTTATTTCACATAAGGATTCTAAAGACACATGTCTGTACCATGCCTCAGTGCTGCAACAAGGCCACAAGAATAATGTAAACACTTTGAAACACTTAAAAGGTATCACAATTTCAACGTAACAACTTACAGTGCCCCAAAGTGCACACTCACAGGACATGTTGCACAAGTAAAAAATAAAATAGAATAATAATAATAATAATAGCTGTCACTGAATCCCAAAAATCTCTTCTGAATTCTCTTACATTTGCCTTTTACATTTACTCCACTGATTTAGCCTCAGCCACTCAGATCACTAAGTGAGCTGCCCCTTCTTTTAACTGTTAAAGAGATTTTGTCATTCCGATGCCTAAACACTGTCACGTTCCAAACCCAAGGAAATGTTCTGGAATTGTTACACTGCCTTCTCTTATTTCTTCTGCTGCCTCTGCACAAACAAATTAATAATCATCATCTACTCTTGCTTATTAATGTCTGTGCAAATATGCGTGTGCATCAAGGATAACAGAATAATACTTGGCAGCTCTCACAGCAGAAATAATTTCCTTTTTTGATCATGTTCCCAACAACTTGAAATAATTTTACTTTGAATATTTTTGCTCAGATAATGCTCATTCCAGCAAGGTAATTTTCTGGAGATTTTGTTTCATCACAAGGTCCCAATTCCCAAGAAATTCCCAAAATTTTCCATTATGGAATAAATAGAGCTCATCTATTGAACCTCAAGGGAAATGTTTCTATGTTATATAGTCTGATCAGAGCAAAAAAGCCTTTCCAAAACAGCTTGCCAGTATTCTAGCAAATAATTATTTTGGCACTTGTATTCTTTATCAATAATTTGATCTTGCTTCAGTCTAATTTCAACATCTCTGCACAGCTGATACCTCTTCATATGATCTGCCAATGTTTCAAGTTTCACAAGAATATTTTACATGGAATTTTTTTCCAATCCTGTCCATTATTCTTGGCTAAAGGAAAAAGTCTCTACAACAAACAGTCTGCGAAGCAACGCACACAATCTGAGAGTGTAACAGAACAACTACTCTCACTTTACATGTTTGTGTTCTCCATTTGAAAGCTGGGGTAAAAATGGAAAGCCTTAATTTTCTTTCATTAGTATACAAAGGATTTTATTGCAATGCTTGCACTGGCCTCGATTCATAAACAAAAGGCCATCAGGCAGGGTCTTTCAAAGCATCAATTCTCA